AACTTCTGTTTCTGAAGCCTCAAACTTCCAATGTAATTAAGGAAATAAAAAACTCAAAGTCCTAAACAGAACTGGGTGCAGATTAGGGGTGCCATTGATTAAGAAAAGAGAGAGAGAAAAAAACAGAGCGAAACAGAGAGAGAGAGAGAGAGAGAGAGAGAGAGAGTCTATTCCTGACATCATATCCAGTCAGGGTTTTAGTTGTTAGTCTTGCACAGTCAATTTATAAATGAAAGTATGTTTTTAATGTTATATTCTAGTTTCATGAATTCATCTGCATTTTACAAACTCAAGTCCAAAGGGCCATATAAATTGAATAAATATTCTCATTGTCGAAAACAGAATCAAAGAAGAGACAGTACTTTTTGTTATTTATTCAACTAAATAGTAGGTTCATATTATTTTTAAGACTCTTTTTTTTTTTTTCTCTGACTTCAGTAAGGCAAACCATTTATTTGATTCATCGCTGTCAAGAACACTTCTCTGGAGATAATTCGCTTGCTCTGGGCATAGAGCAATGTGTTTTCAATCCTTTGTACAGTTTCCCTAACAACCCAGAATTTATTCTTTTACCTGTCACTTCTAAGATGCAAGTAACTATTTTCTCTAACTATGAAAGACTTCAGAATGCCTACAGGGCTGATGATTAATGTCAATCAGACAATTTGATGGTGCCCATATATCCAAAGTATTATACTGATAAGAAAATTGGGAAAAGAACTTAAAAGAAGAAAGGAAGTGATATCAATTGTAATAAGTACAGGAAACCCTGAGTAGGGTATATGTATTTAGGCTGAAGACAAGTTAAGGCTATGTTCAAGTTATAAAATAAAAGCTGACAGAATTCACTTCAGATAGGACAGATTGAGGAGATCACAATGTATGCCAAGCCCAAAATATTTATGTTATAATGTCACTTCTCTAAAAATTGCTCTACATATTAGAGTATCTCTTACCATGTTATGAAATACTCATTTAAGAATATGGGACCATTAGTGCCATATTAGTAAAGATTCTTACAATTTTTGTTTGTTACCAGTGAGAGAAAATTTCATTCAAAGTAAAAGAAAGAGAGAGATGAGAGCTGGCTCTCACTAGCTTAGGAAGCTGAAAATCCATGGGTATATTCAATTTTACCCATGATCACATATTAAGGACTTGTTCAAGCTCGTTTCCTGTACATTTCTGATCTCTGCCTTCTACAAACTTGGTTTCATTTTTAGGTTCTACATGGAAGTCAGTAAAGATTATAAATGTTTTTCTTACAGTGACACGTTGGTTATAAAAATCCAGCTTACATCATAAAGCCTAAGACAGGCAGAAACAATTTTTGATTCCTCCCAAGAGCCCAAACAAACAAACAAAAAGTCTCTCTCTGCTTCATGAGTTGCTTCATATGCCTATCTCTAAATGGATCATGTCAACAGAAAATAAAACGTGATGTCTCTCAGACCTAGTTTAGTTCTTTCCATACTAGAGTGAAATCAACTCTAAAAGGAGTAGACATTTGGCATACAGGGTTGTGAAGGGTTGATGATACCAGAATTAAAACAATGTATAGTTATATGAAGAATAGGCATTGACAAAACCAACAAATACCTGCAATTCAAATATAGTAAGCATTATAATTCACATATATTAAAGCCGTATGTACATGTTTGACTTCCCTATATGATTGTTTGACACTGCCATTACCATTTGTCAGGTCTAACAGCTATATTCAGGTGAAATCAGCATTTTTCATTTTCAAGTCCAAACTGAAATTTCTGCAAAGACTCTGATTAGCCCTGTTGGGGTTATTTGCTCACCCCTAGACCAGTCTATTGGGTAAGTAGACTATAGCCTTCAAGTACAGAGGATGTATTGTGAGTATTGTTAGAAATGTATCATGGAGGGCAATTCTCCACCAAAGCCACATGATTAGACACAGAATATACCAGAATAAGGAGACTACTGCTCTGGAAAAATGAAATAATAATATGTCCACCTCAGTACTTATGTTTGCCCACCACACAGTGCCTGTCATTGTGGCCTTCCCACATTATGTGCTCAATAGTATTCCTAACTTCAATTAAATCTTTTTTTTCGCTTCAGGGTATCACATAAAATTGTTCACAAATTGCCACTTCATTTTCAAAATAGTATTAAATTTTGGGTGGGACATTATTTTCATGTTAACCCACCATCAGTTAGCTGCTTGCTTCTAATTCCGGTTTTCAAAGCCATGGATTTAAATTCACATTGAAGAGTTGGTTTTTACCTTAATTCAGGACTACCAGTTACAGCTCCAACTCAAGCTAACCATTTTACAAATGTTCTATGTTTTATGCAAAAGGGAAGCTGGGTGTGCAATGAAAATAACGATTTTTAGCCTTGTGTTGTTCATTATCACTATTGTACAAAATTCAAAAAACAGTTGGCAATGGCAGCCTAGACTCATCTTTCAATCTTCTTACTTTACTATGTATGTTTTCCATCCCCTAGAGTTCATCAAATACACTCTTCCCTTCCCTGCCTCTACATGTCTGGCATAATCATCCCCATATTTTCTTTTCTGTTTCCTATTCATGATGAGCTTAATCTTAGTTTCTGCCACATTTTTTAGACAGTCTTGGATAATTTTATTTACATCTTGGATAATTGTAAAAATCTAGTTCTTCAGTTGCGCTAGTCACATTTCAAGTGCTCAATAGCCACACATGACACACAGCTACTGCATCAGAGAAAACAAATTAGGTGATCATATTTAGCCTCATAATGACCCTTGAGATATAATATATTTCATATATTATCACCACTGCATAGTTGAGTGTGGGGAACACTCCCGTGTGAGACCCCTAAAAGGCGTGAGTCTCACTATACGGTGAGTTTGATCCCAAACACAGTTTCCTACTGGAGGCAGTCGAGCTATCCGGAAATATAGGAAGAAAGATGAATGATCAGTTTCTAATATCAACCACAATATCATTTGGGCCTAAAACTATGCGTTGCTGCTAGACCAAGTGACCCCCTGCCGGCAACCGGTTCCTGCTTTTAACCTTTTTATGACTTTAAGAATAATCCTTAAACCTTACTTACCAGACTGCCTTGTACCCTAGATAATGGTTTAACTGTCAATATTTGCAAAGCAAAATGCCACCATAAGGGATGGCTTTGATTCCTGACTCAGAGATTCCTGAATGGGGAAATTGAGTTAAGTTGAGTTAGGAGTAGACAAAGGAGAATCCGGTTAAAAGATATTCTGATAAGCAAAACCAGAGACACTTGCAGCCAGGAGGAATAATGTCTGGATGTAAACAAGCTTTGTGATCACAGGAAATTCTGTTACTTTTTACAACCACTGATTGTGTATCTGACTTTTCAATTGTATAGGCCATGTAAGGTATACATTTACATTTCGTCTTGCAACCATTGTGTATTTGACTTCTCTATTGTATAGGCCATGTGAGGCATACATTTACATTCCTCTTACTATGACGTAAACCAGAGCCAAGAAAGGGTATTTATTCCTGGCCTTTGAAAAATAAAATTTGCTGTTTAGGCACAGCCTATCAGCCCTCCAGACGCCTCGCTTTCTCTCTCTCTGTCTTTATTATTTTCTCAGGCGCACTCCCTCTTCCAGGTATTGGGACCCTCTTGCAGGTCGAGAGACCCCCGGGCAGACGTGCCTACCCGTCCGGACGGTCCACGACAGTTGAGAAAAATGTACACTTAGATTAATACTGTGAAACTTTTATGGCATTTACTGTTTGGCAGGCACTGCTTTATGTGTTTTACAAATACAATGGTATTGTTTCATTTTAATTCTCTCTATGGTATTAAAGAAACGTGCCCAAAGTAATGCATTTAGTAAGTGGCAGAGCTGGAATTTGAAAACCAGATCATCTGGTCTTCGAATCTGGGATTTTAACTTCTTTTTATCTTGCCTTTATAACTGAGTAAAGGGTATTTGAAAGGCAATTCAACTAGAGTAAAAAATGAGATTTTCAAAAAACTAATTCTTATTTGATTCAAAAGTAAATGTTCTCAACCTTCCCAGTATTATTGTAGCTCAAATCTAAAATTAATGTTATATAGAAATCTTGTAGGGGACAATGTCAATAGCATATAGACTTAATTTCAAGAGAAAATTCTCAAAGGCACAGACAGAGATCTCATTCTTCCAAACCATGCAAAGACAACTAAAATGTCAGCAAGGCTTCAGCTCAGTTCGTTGTGCTCAGCATACCTCCCACTTTCCCTTTCCATTTATGTACAGGGTACTTAATTTCATTGTGTGTTGACTTTCTCATCTATAACCTAAGTAGAGTATTGCAGCTGTTTTATAAGGTCATTTTGCATATTAAATTAAGACATGTCAATAACTTCAAGCAGAGCTTGACACCTAAATAGCATTTAATTCATATTAAAAAGTTTTTACTATATGATAATTTAATGACTAAGATACTATCACAATCCCAATTCCACCTCTTCCTATAACTTTGATGGGCTTATACTTGCTCCCTTTTCATGATGTCTTTAAACATTACATGTGTAATGTGTGGTTACAAGGACTTGGGGACAACTTTTCTGTGTTATCATCTTGTAATGAGAGCAAGGTTCTCATACTTAAAGTAGGAGAGTAACTGAGAAGTCAGGCTCTAGAATCATAATTTCTGAGTTTGAATCATGGCCTGATACTTTGCAGCTATGTAAACTTGAAAATAGTTATGTATGTTTATTTCTTTTCCTTGGAAGTATTTGGCTGTAACTACCTCATAACATTAATATTTTGAGGATTAAATTTAAAAATAAAACTGCAAAACTAGAATAAAACATAACTGGCTTATTATAATGCCACATCAACGTTAGTTAATATAGATTAAATGGAGGCTCCCTAAAATCACATACATACATAAACTTCAGATGAACAATTGTATTAGTCAGGTTTCCTGAGAGAGATAGAACTAATAGGTTAGATGTATATACAAAGGGGAGTTTATTGAGGAATATTGACTCACCTTATCTCAAGGTGAAGCCCCACAATAGGTCATCTGCAAACTAAGGAGCAAGGAAGCCAAGTTCGAGTCTCAAAACCTGAAAAGTAAAGAAACCAATAGTGTAGCTTTCAGTAGTGTAGTGCAGCCAAAGGCCAGAGGGCACTTGTCAAATTACTGGTATAAGTTCAAGAGTCCAAAAGCTGAAGAACTTGAAGTCTGATGTGGGAGGGCAGGAAGCATCCAGCACAGAAGAAAGATGAAGCCCAGAGGACTCTGCTAGTTTGTTCATATCACTTTCTTCTGCCTGCTTCATTCTAGCAGCATTGGCAGTTGATTAGATGGTACCCACCCACATTGAGGGTGGGTCGGCTTCTCCCTGTCTACTGACTCAAATGCTAATCTCCTTTGGCAATACCCTCACAAATACACCTAGGAACAATTCTTTTAATCCTTCATTCCAATCAAGTTGACAATCAATATTAACCATCACAACTACTGAGCACATTGTATGAACTTAGAACCATGCAAGACACTAAAAAAATTTATCTTGAGAAATAATGAAACATAGTATTATTAGTTAGACGATAGTATAACAAAGTGATTTTGAACACATTATTGATTTTGGCATTGGAAGATGGCTGTCCTTACAGTATAGCCAAGTCAAAACTATTTATTTATCAGAAGTGAGTTAACAATTTGTTTGCAAGTATCATTTGGTTCTTGCTCACCTCTTCCTGGCTTGCTAATATCACTATACCCAGAAGCTTGCAGAAAAATACTGAGTTTAATTGTCAAACCTATTCATAATCAATTTGCATCTTTAAGGTTACTATACCATCTAGCTCACACACAGTAACAACATCAAATTTCCTCCATGTGTATAGCAAAATCAAGTTTTCAAAAGCATAGAACACTTATGTCTATATCCATTTTGTGCTGCTATGATAGAATACCACACACTGGTAATTTACCAAGGACAGAAATCTGTTTTCTCACAGTTCTGAAGGCTAGGAAATTCAAGATCAAGGCATTGGCAGATTGAGTCATCTGGTGAGAATTACATGATCAGAGGGGACACATTTAGGCCACAGCATTCTCCTTTTGACTTTCCCCTTCTGCCATGTGAAGAAAAAGTATTCCTTCCTCCAGAAGATGCTGTATGTGAGGCACCATCTTGGAACCAGAGACTGAACCCTTATGAAACAACAAACCTGCTGGTACCTTGATTTCCCAGCCTTCAAAACTATGAGACATACATTTCTGCTCTTTATAAATTACCTAGTCGATGGTATTTTGTTATAGCTGCACAAATTGACTAAGATAACTTACTTTTTTATTTTGTTGAAAAATACAAAGGAAGATCCAATTAGCTAGATACTGTGAATGTATGAAGGGGGTCACAAAACTTCAGGGTCTTTCACAGTTTGTGTTTTACCTCTGACTTTATACTATTTTATAACAAAATGACTATTTTCTACAAAGGTCTGTATCAAGTCAGATACAGACCTTTGTATAAAAAGGTATCTTTGTATAAAAGTCAGAACATAGCTCATTATAAATCCTCCTCTAACAATTTAAAGTGTATTCTATACCCTGTCAGGAAAAAGAGGTAACAGCAAATCCTAGCTATCTGGAAGATACATAACCTACATCTAAGTTGATAATACTCTGGAGTCAGATTGTATGATCATTAAGTGCTATCAAAGTAATTTCTAACATAGTAAATAAATGGAAAGGAAAGGAACAGGCCAAAATGGCATAAATATATTATCCATATAACTAATTTCTCAAAATAAATTAATAAATTATCATTAGACACTTAAAAACATGTACTGGGAAATACTGCAACTTTGATAAACAAAGAAGTAAATATATTAAATCAATATTGGCACTATTATATAAGAGCTCTGTATTCATAAATTATTCAATGACTCTGAAACTTTGTTTTCTCCTCTATAAAGTTTTTTTTTTAAAGTATTTACCTCACATAATTGTAAAGGAAAAAAAAATTAATGTGAAATACCAGGTACAGAGTCTGGCACACAGAACCTGAAATTTAAGAAAGTTTGCTGATTATTGATTATGATAAAAAATAAGTATTTAGGTCAGAAGTGGTGGCTCACATCTATAATCTCAGCTCTTTGGGAGGCCAAGGTTAGCCAATTGCTTGAGCCTAGGAGTTTGAGAACAACCTGGGCAACATAGTGAGACTCCAGCTCTAAAAACATAAACAAAATTAGCTGGATGTGGTGATGCACACCTGTAGTCTCAGCTCTTAAGGAGGCTGACATGATAGGATTGCTTAAGCCTAGGAGGTCAAGGCTGCAGTGACCTGAGATCCCACCAGTGCAATGTAGCCAGTTTATCACCATATCCACACACACACACACACACACACACACACACACACACACAAAACCTCTTCTTTTAGAAATATATATTTGTTTGTTAATTGACAAATAAAAAGCATATATATTTACTGTATACATAATGCTTTGAAATATATATACATTGTGTAATGACACCACTAAGCAAATTAATATGTACATTACGTCAAATTCTTAACATATGCATTACCTATCATACTTTGTAGTAGGAACCCTTAAAATTTGCTCTCTTAACAATTTTCAAGAATATAATATGCTGTTGTTAATTATAGAAGTAATAAATTCAAGAGATACATTGTACAACATAGAATATACCAGTTCTGATTTCTATCTTTTTTTATTTTTCTATTGAGTATGTCAGTTCTAGGGACTTTGCAATCAAATAATTTGTATAAAAGGACCACAGTAAACATAAGCTTCAAGGTTGCCATCAGTCATATGCTAACCCAAGAGTCTAGAAGTGATCAAATATTTCAAAATCTTGCCCTGTGGTCATGGTAGTCAGTCTGTATATTTTTATTTTACATATTCTACACAAGAAAAAAATAGTAAATGTATTCAATCATTCTAAGAATTATTTTAACTACAGAGATTTTGATGTTTTAGCAAAAGAATACCTCTATTTTATCATTATATATGCTTTAAGCTACTAGAAGAAACACATCATTTTGTAATAAAATTTCATTTGATATAAAGAATAATTATTAGTTGCATAATTACTTTCTTGAAAAATGTACTATGTAACTTAAGTTGTAAATTATCACCAAAAATTACTTTAAATAATTAGAAACAGATAATGAGAGTTTTCAAACGTTTAGGGGATATTGCAAAGTATAGAAAAAAATATTTTGAGGATTTTAGATAATATAAATCTTGAGCTAAGTTAGATGCAAAAATATTTTTTCTTTAAAGTATAAAGATAGTCTAGAACTGTCAACTATAAAGACTTGATATTGTATCAATGATCTCTTTTAAATATTTTTTGTTTTCATGATAAATGTCGATCCAGAAAGAAACGAGCCACCTTTTATATATGATAATACTATAATTGAAACCATGGCATTTTGGGCCAAAGGGAAATGTCCTTGATCTTTTAGGTGAATGTTAATTAGTTCCTAAACCCAAATCTACCAGGAAGTCTTATTAAAACTGATTCTGAATAATGGTCCCTACACTTTTATTCCTGGTGTTTGACATGTCTGACAGAATCTCTGAATTTTGCATTGACCAAGAGACAGCTTAACTTTTGTCATCCTCTAAACCATATTCTTCCTGTCCTCTACTAAAAATTAGTTCAATATATTTTCTAAGAGGCTAAGAAAACATACATACTCAAAAAGTCACCAATATCAAATTGTATTTATTAATTGTTAATTTAACCAGAGGTTCAAAGCTCTACAAATCAAGTTAATGAGACATAACATTTTAGGGATTTAGACTAAGACACAAACATTACATTTTGTGTAGTATGTACTGCAGTTGATGACATATATTTAGATAATTAATGCAAGTTTGGTAATGAAATAAGTTAATGGAAATAATACTTCTGAATATATATATTAGAAATGTTTTATCGTTATTTATTGTCATAATATAAAGATCTATTTGATAGTATAATGGGATGGTTATAGTTAATAACTTAAATTTATATTTTGAAATACTTAAATAATATAATTGGATTGTTTAACACTCAAAGAATAAATGCTTGAGGGGATGGACACCCTATTCTACATGATGTGCTTATTTCATGTTGCATGCCTGTATCAAAATATCTCATGTACCCCATAAATAGATACACCTGTTATGTACCCACAAACACTTAAAAAATATGTAGTAGTGATCACTTATTTTTTTTTCTTTCTTCCCTTTCAATTCCCTTTTATTTATTTTTCTTCTTTTGTTGAGTATTTCAGTCCTAAAGACATTGAATGAAGCAGATAAAAAACAGGCATCTGTGCCAGAAGTGAGGAAGAGGAGCATGACAGCTTAGAACATGGAGTTACAGCTAAAACAGGACAATGACTGAGTCAACTCACAGAAATTCTTAGCTTAGTCAGAGCACACAAGGTAATGGTCCAGAACAGATGGCACATCCCAAGCAGACTGAGGAGAGAATCCAAATGAGTAGTGACCAGGTATGGGTGGGTCAGAGTATATGCAGAATGATAACAGCACATACTGAAAATTAGCTTGGCAAGGGAGAAGGAAAATTCACCAGGAAATAGGTCAAATAAGTAAATGTATTAAGAATAGTGAGATCTAAGTACATTGCTTTCAAAACAAGGTGTTACAAATATGACAAAGGAGAAAACGAGACTAAAACTTATGATATTGGACTGTAATTGGAGGTATTTGTATGAATTCATGGTTTTAAAATATATATATAAATATTGAAATAAATATAGACGTAAACATCTATGAATGCATGTATATCTCTGTCCACTGACAGGACCTAAAAGCAGTGACGTTCCAGTGCTAAAGAGCATATCTCATACCCAGATCATGACTTCTAAAACCCAAGGACTTAAAAGTAACAAGGACTCTTCTGAGAAATGACTGATTTCATATAACTGGGAAGGTAAGTACTACTTGGAGTGGTGTCAGAGCCCTGGCATTGGGAAGTGGTTGACTGGTGGTTTGCTAAGAAGAATTTACTAACAAGAGTATAGGTTTGAAGGAGGAAAATTTCACTGGAAAGAATGCTGTGGAA